CAAGTTCGCAGGTGATTCTGTTTCCACTAATTGAAAGAAATGCTTTTTGAGAACCGATTTAGGCTAAGTCCTTTGAACTGGTACCTGGTCTTCAGAAAGTTCCTCACAGCTATTAACAGTTGCACAGAAGTGACAGCAGACAGGGCTTGCCCAGTAGCCTTGAGTTTTTTTTTGTTTCCATTGCCTCTATTTACCCTTTGAACCAAAGAAAATCTCTATTTCTGGAACCGTTTTATTTTAAAGAAAATTGGGACTCTTGCTTTCTTGCTGCTCTTCATTCTATTTCCTTTTAACAAAAAGGATGACACCAGACACACACACACACTGCTTGGTGGTTGGCCTCAGCCTTGGGGTGGTGGCTCAGAGAAGGCAGTTTGCAGACAAAGAGTTGGTCCTACCCCCTGGTGCTAAAACAAGACCGCATATCTGTCATTAGGCCAGATTACGCCATCGCTTTCCCGCTCCTTCTCCTACAGTGTCACCAACACAAAGCAATAGGTCTGCTTGTTCCCCTTTCCCCTTCACTTCAAGGCAGCCCTTTATGGCTGTTGGAATATGACTTCATCAGTAAGAAAGACTGATTAAGGGGACACACTCCCAACATACTCACACAGTTCTATGGTTTGTGCTTAGACCACACATCCCCTCTGCTAGGGACGATCTTCCTTCACCATGTGATTTTTAGGCTAATTGTCCTGAGCTAATGAAAGGGATGCAAAGCAATCCTCCTGCCGTGCTCTGAGGAGTTGAGTGCAGCTGTTGCTCGTTTCACAACAACTGGTGTCTAATGCTCTTGCTTTCTCATGTCTATAAAATATTCTGCAAAGGACTCCATAGCAACTGCTGATACCACTTCACTCCATAGCAAATAATAAAAATACCTAAAAGCTATTCCAGTTGCACATATACTTGTACATAAACAAAACAGAATATTTCAAGCTATTTTCTACTCCCAAGATTCTAGAATTCATGTAAATAGTGCATGATATATACTCTCTTTTTTCTTGCATATATATCGAGTATCGTCTATGTGGCAAGCAATATAATCGGGTGTTTTATATACATCATTTCATTTAAATCTGACATGAGGTAAGCAGTAAGAAGCATTCTTATTACTCTGTTTCAAAGGCTGGTGTTTAGTTTGAGGAATGCTGAGCATTTTCTCTGATCTTTTTAAAATGTATTAGGATGCAGAATAATGACATCATCTCAAAATTTGCTTAACTTAATGACCATGGGATCACTGCTGGGCATTGAATGCAGGAGTGCTGCTCTTCTTTTGTATCACTATACAGTAAACCATACCTCTTTTAAGAACCAGGCAGTTAAAGATCCAAATATCAGCATATCATTGGCTTCTCGGTCATGGTAAGGGATGCCGACACTGCATGCTTCCCAGAGGTCACCCTTCCACCTGTCCAGATTCCAAGCCGAATAGCCTATGTCAAAGAGCACCACGTAAGGACTTCCTTCTATCAGCCATCTTCCAAAATGCACCTGTCGTGTAAAGAACACATAGCCGTGTAGTGATATTAAGTAATTCAAGAGAAGAAAATGTATTTGAGCTTAGAGGATATAAACTTTACATAGAACTCAACAGCAGATTAAGCAAGCTACACCGGAAATCTGATAACACATGGCATCTGACTTCTGAGTCTGAAGCTGGGATGGGCTTGCATCCATTCATCTAGAATCTCCAGGGTCTTGCTCTTCATTTAACTTTGCTCATTTAGAAACAATGTATCCAGATCATGTAATCTCTGTTTTTCTGTCCTTCCTTACCCTTCTGTGACCTTGAGCTTATGGATATAGGGTTTCACGTTGTAGTCTACGTTTTTATGATAGTCATAAGGTGAAGTGCTCTGTATCTTTAACAGCCTGTACTTGGATATGATGTCTACTATGTTGCTTATTTTCCTTTATGTAACAGGACTTAAAATATTTCTTACTAGAAAAGAAGCTGGGTTTGTAGACAAATGTGTACGATTTATCTTACTACTCCTATAAAAATAAGTGAGCCAAAATATTCCCTATTACATGACATGTAACCTCATAAACCACTTCAAATCCTTTCTGGAACTCAGCGGAAATTAAGATCCTCTCTTGGTTATCAGCTTCTCTAGAAAACTGTGTCCACATTGTTTACATATTGACCATTATGACTCCACCCAAGGCTGAATTTTGCAGAACCTAGAAGCCCAATGTGATCACCATTTCCTCCCAGGGGACTCAGGCATGTGTGGTGATGTTTCTCTCCCACCCATGCCTTGGCCAACCTTGAAAGACCCTCATTACTTGTAAGTTGCTTCCATTATAGTTTAGTATTTATCTTTTTTAATTAAATTTAATTTCTTTTTAGACTGAATTTTCCTGAGCTCCAAACAACTTTTTAATAGTTTTCTCTTTGTGACATTCATTGATTCATGTGTTTTATTTTTATCTGATACATATTTACTTACTGCCTAATAGGTGACATATGGTACACTGAGCTAGAATCATAGAGAAGTGTTGAAACCTCAGACGGAGAATGTAGGCTAGCTTGTCTTACTTCCAGTCAGTTCGGGTGCAACATGGAAACATTCTTACACCAGAAATCCATTCAGGATTCTGAGACCCATCCTGCTCCCATCTCCCTCTTCCCTCACAGGAGCTTCAGATGCAAGCCCCTGCCAACACCCCATTCATTTTCATCCCAGTAGCTCAACGTGTGCCTGTCTGTCACTCTCCTGACATTCTCTATGCTGCCTCCACTATGAGACATCTTCCTGGTGCTCTCTCAAACTTCAAGTTCCCTTGTAAATGACACAGTCTCCTCATTAAACCTTGCATGGACCTCCTACACAGCACTACCCACACAGACATCTCAAGGGAGGGCTTCTGAATATGATGAAAAATTACTATTTTTAAAATTCATCTGAAACATGCAAGCCTTGTTCTTTACTGGTGAATAAAAATATCTTTGAAACTTACGCTATCCAAATATATTACCTTTCCTTGTTCTGCTAGTCACCCCGGTTGCTTTTTGACCTTATCCTGGGCAACTTCAAAGTTCAAGATTTTTATCTCACAAACTCACCTCATAGTTATTTGACCTTATTGACTTCGAAGAACTTCATGTCCACTTGATTTTAGCCGCCCAAGCTCACGGCTGCATTCTTATCCTTGTCAAAACCCAAATTGTTCCTTCTCTGGAATATTCCACTTTAGCATCCTGTTACCTGACCACAACTTCTATACTCCAGTTCTCCCACTCTGTTTCTCCCAGTGTACACATTCTTTCTTTTTCCTCTTGAATACTTCCAGCTCCTGGAACCCTCCCTTTTTCTCCTCCATTATCATCTCCTCTTTGGCTTCACTTCCTTTCCTGTCCCTTTTAGACACAACAGTCCATCTATGTAACCATTAATTCAATCACTCTCACAATGACCTCCAATACCTGTGCCACCTGTGCCACAAATGCTGCCACTAAAAAGTCATGACTACACCTCAAAGATGTCCAGAAATTCTTTTACATATTCTTTAAAAGCTTTCAGAACTTTTTCATTCCAATTCTCTTATTTCAACAAGTGTCTCCTAACTCTCAAAAGATGACCTTTAACTCCTGCTTCAGTGACATCATCAAAAACATTGGGTGAGACCATCCTGAATTCTCCATCAGTTTTTCTCTATTTGCGTTCACCCTTTATCTCCAGGTGTGAAGAATAATCCTTTCGGTATTACTCTGGATCTTGTTCCCTGACCCATTCTCAGGGACTTTACTCTCTTTAATCTCCCATTTATTCTGAACTTTCAACTTTTCCCTGTTTGCTAGGTATTTCCTTTTGGCATATCAATGTGCTCCAGTCTCACCCATGTTTAACAAAACACCAATTCTCAAAACCATGTCACTCTGCTACTACTTTATCATCTTCACCCTTCATGGAAAACATCTCATAGCCACAACTTCTGTATCCTTTTTCTCACCACTTATTCATTTCTCCCCCTGAAATCTGATTTAGCCTTTCCTTCTCCTCTTAAACTGTACTTAGCAATGTTATCAATGACCTGAGTATTGCCAAGCCCAGGCGACCCTGGTTCGATCCTTTGTTGACTTAATCTCTCCTTCACACTTGAAACTCTCTCCTCCCTTGACTATTCCTGTTGTGGCTGTGACAAATTATCACAAAACTAGTGGCTTGAAACAACACAAATTTATTATCTTACAGGTATGGAGGTCAGTAGTTCTAAGTGGGTCTTGCAGGCTAAAATCAACATGTTGGCAAAGCTGCATTCATCTGTAGTCCAGGGGAGAATCTGTTTTCTTGCCTTTTTCAGCTTCTAGAAACCATCTGCATTCTTGGTGGCCTCTTCATCCATCTCAAAGTTCATGACTCCCACCTCTGCTTCCACTGGCACATCTCCTCTCTGATTCTAATTCTATGGCCTCCCTCTTATGAGGATCCTGTGATTATACTGCACCCCCCCCCCCCCCCCCCTCC